TCCTATTCAAAGGTATGATTAATTAAATCCAGGAAAATGTATTTTCTATTTCAATCTTCAAATCATCCTGTATACGATTGCAAATGATGGTTCTAGACGATCTGTTTCATTCACAAGCATGTTACAGTCAAGTGGAGAATAGTACAGCTGTTGAAGGTCAAGTGGGCCATAGTACAGCTGTTATACAGGTCAAGTGGGGCATAGTACAGCTGTTGAAGGTCAAGTGGGCCATAGTACAGCTGTTATACAGGTCAAGTGTGGCATAGCACAATTGAGATTGGTCAGATGAGGCATTGTACAGCTGTTATAGGTAATAGGGATGTAGTACAACTGTTATAGTACAAGTGGAATACCTTTCAGCTGTTATAGGTCAAGTGGGATACAGTATAGCTGTTATAGGTCAAGTGGGATACAGTATGGCTGTTGTAGGTCAAGTGGGATACAGTATGGCTGTTGTAGGTCAAGTGGGATACAGTATGGCTGTTGTAGGTCAAGTGGGATACAGTATGGCTGTTATAGGTCAAGTGGGATACAGTATGGCTGTTATAGGTCAAGTGGGATACAGTATGGCTATTATAGGTCAAGTGGGATACAGTATTGCTGTTATAGGACAAGTGGGATACAGTATGGCTGTTATAGGTCAAGTGGGATACAGTATGGCTGTTATAGGTCAAGTGGGATACAGTATGGCTGTTATAGGTCAAGTGGGATACAGTATGGCTGTTATAGGTCAAGTGGGATACAGTATGGCTGTTATAGGTCAAGTGGGATACAGTATGGCTGTTATAGGTCAAGTGGGATACAGTATGGCTGTTATAGGTCAAGTGGGGACAAGTGGGATACAGTATGGCTGTTATAGGTCAAGTGGGATACAGTATGGCTGTTATAGGTCAAGTGGGATATAGTATGGCTGTTATAGGGCAAGTGGGATACAGTATGGCTGTTATAGGTCAAGTGGGATACAGTATGGTTGTTATAGGTCTAGTAGGATACAGTATAACTGTTATAGGTCAAGTTGGATACAGTATGGCTGTTATAGTTCAAGTGGGATACAGTATAGTTGTTATAGGTCAAGTGGGATACAGTATAGCTGTTATAGGACAAGTGGGATACAGTATGGCTGTTATAGGTCAAGTGGGATACAGTATAGTTGTTATAGGTCAAGTGGGATACAGTATGGCTGTTATAGGTCTAGTGGGATACAGTATGGCTGTTGTAGGTCAAGTTGGATACAGTATAGTTGTTATAGGTCAAGTGGGATACAGTATAGCTGTTATAGGTCAAGTGGGATACAGTATAGTTGTTATAGGACAAGTTGGATATAGTATGGCTGTTATAGGTCAAGTGGGATACAGTATGGCTGTTATAGGTCAAGTGGGATACAGTATGGCTGTTATAGGTCAAGTGGCATACAGTATGGCTGTTATAGGTCAAGAGGGATACAGTATAGCTGTTATAGGTAAGACTGTTAAAGGTCGAGTGTTTGCAATAATAAACCGATTTCAGAGTCCATTTGAACGAATTGTTATCATTGTAAAGTGGTATTTCGAAAAATGCTTAACTATGTGATATACTGAACATTCGTATTTCACTTCTTAGCATCAAAAGAACCTTTTAAACAAATATGACTCCATATTTATTATGCCTTCAGGCAAATTTAGTATAAAATGTTTTGTATCGTCTTGATTTTATGGTAAAAAAATCCTACAGTTCACTAAATAAATGATGGTAGTAGAAAAATAGGGTGCAGTATAGCTTCAAAGGCAATATGTGTAGGTGGAAAGATTGATCATGGATGATGCTGGCTCCTGATTCAACCACAGAGTATTAAAATGATTATTAGAACAGGGTTAGCTCAGACTGTGTAATGGGTCTGTACAGGATGTCATCTGCCTATCTCCATTATAGAACCAGTCTATCTGGTCAGACACAGTGCCACAACCTCGACTGTGGAACTTGTAACTCGTGAGCAATTAGTTTTAGTCAGATTTATCAGCCAGAGACAATATTAACATAGCTGAATGCATTTGACGTGATATAAAAATGAATTGTTCATTAGTGATCTGATTGAGGTAGTATTCTAGATTGATCATAACAATTAGCAGCCCAGCAAGGTCTAGTCAATAATGAAGGGTTAGGTCTCTTTGCAACAACTGATGGCTTCTGAAAGTCATGTCATGATGAATCTGAGAAAGATTGGACGAGTTTTCTGTTATATAAGCAGAGCTGTATTTGCAAAATGATATTGAACTGTACCAGTTTTAAGGTAGACCAGTTTGTAGATGTCATCGCCCATTAGAGACAGGATGATCTTTCAGAATTTTTAAAATCCTGGTCATATACATGTACATTTATAGCTGATGAATGTTCGTTGAAAAATTATGAATCAGGATATTAAAGCAAAATGTCTTTTCTATCCAGCATTTGTTTACTGTTTAACATGAAATGATTGTGGATAATTCTTTCTTGGTGTGTATATACTGTATATAAGAGGTTGTATTATGGTATGTCAATCCATCCATACATCCATCATAAAATTGTATTTGTCTGGAAATCTTCTCCCACAGTTCTCAACAATCACAACGTGGCAAAAAGGGTGTGTTTTCTTGATCACAGTTTCATTCGATCAACAGGATTTGGAACAGTCATACTGTGAATGTTCTCAAAATGATAATCTCGTCCAGAGATTTCTTTTCTCAGCTTTGAACCTGTCTCTTTCAAACTTGGTAGATTTAATCACCATGACATGATGTTGTATTCTGGCAGTTTGGTTGAAATTTACTTGAAAGAGTCGAATCATTGCTCCCGTTTTCATGGTAGTCTTTGTCTGGAGATCTCCTTTCCTTAAAATTTTGTAGGCTTTATGATGTAAAATTAAATTTTCTTAAATGGCAGTTTGATTAAAAACTAGTGAAGGAAGTATTGCCCTTTAAAGGGTCATGATGACCTATAACCATTGTGCTTAATCTGTTGTCGTCAGCCGTCCGCCAGAGTAGACTTTGACATTTCAAACTTCTAAAGTTCCACCAGTGGGATTGAGCTCAAACTTACATGAAATAATCCTTAGATGGTACTGACCAAGTGTTGTTATTTTCCGGGTCTGTCTGGAATCCAAGATGGCCATCTTGAAAAACATATTTAAATTTTTTTCTGCAGTTCCACTGGTGCCATTGAGCTAAAAATTGGAAGGAATGTTAAGGAAAGGTAGCCAACAAAGTTTTATTTTTTAGACCATGTCAAAACTTTGACATGGCAACTAGGGATGCCATTTCGTAACATAATTGCAAAATCATGGTTTTCCTGTTCAACACTTATTTCAAAGTCCCACCTGTGGGATTGAGTTCAACTTGTCTGAAATGATCCTGAAATGGTCCTGACCAAATGTTGTTATTTTTCAGGTTGATATTACAGGTTGGTTTGAAATACAAGATCGCTGCCATGGCTTCAATAACCACTATCATGAAAAACATTTTTGAAACTTCTTTTCTAGTGCCATTGAGCTAAAAATTGGTAGGGATCTGGAGGAAAGATAGCCAACAAAAGTTTGCTTTTTTTTACTGTGTCAAAGCTTTCACATGGCAACCAGAAGCAGCAGCCATTTTGTAACATGACTCGTTTTCTTTAACAACTCCTATTTAAACTTCACCAAGTGTTGTTATTTTTATGGTAGGCCCAAAATCCAAGATGGCTGCCATTTTGAAAAACACATTTTAAACTTTTTCTCTACTTCGCCTTCTTAAGGCCTAGGTAGATTTCAACCAATTTTGATCTGAAACATTATTGCAGGTAGGTTATCATTTGTGAAATTCAAAACATTGATTTGACCCTCTAGGGGACCTTGAAGCATGGCCCCAAGTGGAAAACACAAAACATTATTTCCTTAATGCTTGCATGGATTTATACCAAATGTGGTCTGAAATATCGTCATAGGAATTCATTAGATTTGTCAGACAACCATCTGCAAATTCTGTGGTTTGTCTTATCAATTTATCGATTTTCAGATGACTGTTAAGGGCCATAACTCCCTGTCATATTTTACAGAGTTCTCTTCCCTCAGTTGAGCTTTTAAACTGTGGCATGAAATTGTGTTTTTCTAAATGGCATTGAAACTTTATGATTTTGATATCTGTTGCTTTTTGTTTTTTCCAGTATTTTGTTTTTCTCTGCCAATCTACTTGATCCTTAGTAGGCTTAAAAAACCCATACATAAGGTTATGATTTCATGAATTGCTTTTTTTTTCAGCAATATTTCAAAGAGTTTCTGCCCTTTGTTTTGTTTTTTTTTTTTTTGCAGTATTTTGATTTTCCCATATCTTTAAAACTTGGTACACTTTAATTTATTGTCAAAATATATAGCACTGCATCTCTCTTCCTATTTCCATATTTGTATTCCTTTGACACAATAAGTGATGAACATTTCTTTGGCAAGAAGCAGACACCCCACAGTACTCTTGTTTTTTTGTTAAGTGCATAAATGTTGAATTCATTACATTTTATTTCATGGGTTTGTCTGCAAGCAGGGAGATGACAGACAAGGTTTTAACACAATGAGCATTTAATGTCATAAAGTTCCTTAATCTTTCTGAGAGGTTAAGATAAACAATGTTTCCTAGGGTGCAAGTAAAGGTTGACAAATTACATTTCTTGTCTTGATTACAGAAAAATGATTGCATGTTCTCAGGTGCTGAATCATTAGAAATCGCACACACATGTACACTAAAAGCAGTGTGATAAGTTTCCCTCTGTCAAGTGGTCATTAAATGCTGTCTCTGAAGGTGTGTTGTTTCATTGCCGTAAGGTCCTGGAGAAGATTTTTCTTTAATAAAGAAGTCAGTAATTCCTGCAGGCTAGTCAAGGAGACATGAACACAGTGTTTATCATGGTTTTGTAATTTTCACTTTGGAAGCATTTTATTGCTTTTTCCAGCTCTAGCATGCACAGGCACTCCCTGAATCATTTATAGATATAGCATGTCCTTACTTGATTGTGTATCCTTTCAGCTAACCTTTTCCTGGCGGCCCTGATCCTTAAAGAGAAGATCCGAGCTGAAAATCTCTTTGGTAAGTGGATTTTATTTGCCCCATTGTTGTATTGATGATAATGAGGTAATGGATACACTGAAATACAAATATAGTTCTTCTTTTGAAAACACCATCCTACCTTCCATTCCTCACTTGTATGGTTTTATTAAAGAGAGTAAAGCTCCTGCTCCAGGTGTTGTAAAATTTGCTTGAGGCATATTTCCCTTTATATTGGCAGACTCTGTACTAATATATACTTTTTTTTATTTTACAATTGCAAAACAAGATACTTCATCATGTTTATGTCTTTTGCTGGCCTGAATGGTAGAGAGTTTCACGATTGCAGATTGTCATTGCTATGTCTTGAGAAATATTAGATGATTCTTTCTCAAATTCACTTTGTAGTTTCCCCTTGGTCCTTGTTCATGCCAATTCAATTTTAAGACAGATACAAACCTTTATTGCTGATAGGAGGCTATCTTGGTTTTTGGCAATTAATGTTTTCTGAAAAGTGTTTCCTGAGAAGTACTGAATATATGAGAATAACTTAAAACAACCTTCCAAATTAAGCATTCGTGCTTTCATTCCTGTTTCTTCATGATGCTTGATAAATTGCCTAGATACAATGTCTGTGATGTAATAACAAGTGTGATTATGTGACATCATAATTGAATGGTAGATCATGACGTAGTTTATATAATTCTTAAACAGTACTGTTTAGTTTGGGTTTAAATGATCTAATAAAATACATTTCTTTTTCTCTTCTTTCATTGGGATTCCTCCGAATAGAATTTGTAGAAAGGAAATATTTTAAATAGTTTTTTTTTCGCAAATGTCTAAATATTCACTTAGTTTTAATTTTCTGTATTCTGGAGATTTGATGTGCTGTTTGTGGACTCGTACGGTGCGGTACTTATATATAGTGGAAGGAGAAAGTACGTGAACATTTAGTCATTTGCGGAAATATAACATTTAAAATCTTTCCTTTCTTCAAATTCTATTCGGAGAATCCCATTGAAAGAATGCAAGTACTCCGTGGTCCCTCTTGGTGCCTTTTCTATTTGGAGAATGATTTGAAAGCAAAATGGCCGGCAAGCAGCCCAAATAGCCAGTTGGTCTTCAAGTTATACATTTCCATACAACATAATTACTTATACTGTGAGAGTTATTCTTACACGGGAAGTGTTACCTAACATTGTATCAATGTTGCAGGATCTGCAATGGCTGTCATTGGTGCTTTCCTCATTGTCACCTTCTCATCCAAGGTTTGTATAAAAATATCTACTTTATACATGTATTAATGACTCTACACCTGTGAAAAGACACTCCAAGAGAATTTCTCTTTTATGTTACGATTTTTATTTAAGAAGGAGCATATACAGCCCCACCTGTTGTAATATAGTATCATTACTTTTTCATCTGTTATCTTAATATCTCTGTGGATTTTGACAACTTTTATGCAGTAGTCAAGTTTAGGAATACCTTTGAGGCATTCCTGTTTCCAAGGAAATGCCAGTCTCCATTTTTGTGACACTAACTTGCATTGGAATTGGTTAATAATGTCTTACAGGTGTATGCTTGTTCTTATATAGAGCATAAATTTGTCAGCTTCAGCTACAGGAAGGCTATATTTGAGAGTTAGAAAAACTAAACATTAATAATCTGCAATGCATGCACTTTTAAGTACGGAAAGACCATCATCACTAATTGGAATGTCACTATGTTAAATGGTTCCTAAGGAGGTTTCGTTTATATATAACTCTTGGGGTATAGAATATTGTTGGCTGGAAAATCATTGATATGATTCTTTTGAATTTGATAAATTTCTATTGATTTCATGTATTGGTTTTGTATGAACTGTATGAAATTCATCTACAAATTTATATACTGAATCAGTAGAAAATTTAGTTGATTTAAGGGTGAAGTGTATGACTATTTGAAATAATATTTTGCAATAAAGCTAACCAACATAATGTATCATGTCTTTGACAATGTGTTACAAGGAGTTCACAGAGATAATTGGATTTCTAGGAAAGAGCAGGCACTGCCTGCATGCAGCTCTGATTGAGGGTTTCTTAAATAGATCACAAAACCACAGAAGAACCAATTACCATGATAGGAGGTGAAGCAAGGTCACATTGCTGTGTGCTTTTCAACATCATAGTTGTTGCACAATGTGGTGCTTATCCACCTGTCCTATACATGTATTACAATATAAAACATTACAATGTATAATGACCTTGTATTGTACTTATCTTGTATTACAATATATACTTGTATCACAGTGTATCTATACTTACTTTCACAATATATATATATTCAAATATAAAGGTTGAATTCAGTGTCCATGAAATATAATCAAATAACTTCAAACATCTTGAAGATTCAGAAATGAAAACGCTAATGCTTAATTTGACATGTTGTTTGAAGTTATTTTGATATATATATATACATATATACTAACCTTGCAAGATTTATGCTTACTTTTATTATAATGTATGTACATAGTATACTGACAAGGAAAAGATACACAACATCCAGTTAAATACCAATAGTTTTTTATTTCAATAAACTTTTGTTTAACAGTTCTGAGTAGCGTGAAATCATTTGAATTGATCACACTACATGTTCTTGTGTCCACCTGACACATATATCCTGATCAGCATACAAGTAAGTATAGACGTGGCAGCATTTCACTGAAATTTGTCATTGTGTAAAGGATGCTGAGGCTAATTAATGATGAAATTATGATTACAAAAAGTCAGTTCTAATACTGTTGGCTAGAAACACCCAAAACACTGTGGCAAGAACTCTACAGCCATGTTTGATTGACTGGTACACCTGACAGCCACCATCAAACATGACTGGTACAACTGACAGCCACCCTCAAACATGACTGGTACAACTGCCAGCCACCCTCAAACATGACTGGTACAACTGCCAGCCACCCTCAAACATGACTGGTACAACTGCCAGCCACCCTCAAACATGACTGGTACAACTGCCAGCCACCCTCAGACATGACTGGTACAACTGCCAGCCAACCTCAAACATGACTGGTACAACTGTCAGCTACCCTCAGACATGACTGGTACAACTGCCAGCCACCCTCAAACATGACTGGTACAACTGACAGCCACCCTCAAACATGAATGGTACAACTGACAGCCACCCTCAAACATGACTGGTACAACTGCCAGCCACCCTCTAACAAGTGGACTGAAGGTAATTATGCCTTGACAGGATTGTTTCTTGAGGTTGCAACACTTGTCCAAGTAGTTTAGAACTGCAAAAAATCCTGCAAATTAGACGCCAGGGATACACAATTCAAGAGTTAGCCAAGATACTGTGCTGAGACATCTCCACTATGGCATCAAACTGGACTATGTTGCAGTGAGAATATCCCTTTATAGTCATCAATGTGAAGCAAGACTCCAATGTCACCATCCAAATGTGTTTTCAATGAAAAGATGGCACCAGGTACTCTTCTCTGACAAGTCAAGATTAACTCTGTATCTTCCAGATGGGTGTCGGCAGGTTGTTCGACGTTGTGGTGAACATTATGCCGATAACTGCAATGTGGATTGTGACATGTTTTGGTGGTTGCATAATAGTGTGGGGTGGGATCTATAGTGACCATACTTTTTCAACAATACAAAGCTCAATGTCGTTTGACACGATATGAAATGAACCAAAATAATGTTGACTCTTTACCTTGACCCCAAACAATCTTGATCACTCTACAGTAGAGCATGTGTTGGACATATTAGATTGACACATTCAAACACACCCAAATCCACCCATACCCTACCCACTAGGTGTCAGGCAGTACTGGTAGAGCGGTGAAATATCACTGTAGTACATATAAACTGTTTTGCATCGTTGAATTCGGACACCAACTAATACTAACCAGGGCCATACTTCTCACCGAAGACAAAATGAATTTTAATAGCTGCTGCCTTTTCAGCCTTGACATTTCTTGCTAAAGTAATGATGATTCAATCTTAATTCACTGTTTCATCAAGTAGAATACATGTGTTTCTTCAATTAGTTGTATAAATAAGATGTTACATTTGAATGAAATAATTTGGATTTTACCAAAAATTGAAGGTTATGTTTCTTTTGTGTGTCAGTATATTTACGTATCAATCTTATATTAAAATTTAACACATTGCAGGGTATATTTATCTACCAGTAGCAAATTTGCACTACAAAAAAGAAGACGATACTATTGGCCTGACCTGGCTTTAGGAGTTGGTGCTGTTCTTTATTTTTTTTTATTTATTTATTGTTTACCAGTATTTAACTTTTAAGAGACCTCTGTATACCACTTCTGAAGCCTAGAAGATGAACCTTAACACACATAAGATACTTAGCAGGATGTTGGTTCTTTGGAAAATTCTCCAACTTGAGATTTTTTGTCTAATTAACTTTCTTCCAGAATATTTATCATATCATTGTGTATACTAACATTGTATTACAATGTTGCACATTACAATATGTACAGATCTTGTATTTTATTTGCTATTTATAAAGTTACATAACAATTCCTATCCAAATTTTATTACAAAGTACATCATCAAGCTTGTATTACCATGTCACCATTCAGTCAACTTATTTTCCATGTAAGAACTTAAGTTTGATACCTCAACCCTGTTACAGGTGTGTATGTCATAAGATCAAGATAATGTTGGTTTCGGTGTTATAATTTGAATTCCCTTTAATATTTTTAACTTCATACAATGTCTTCTTACGGAAAGTGTTTACATCGATTAAACATTCTTTAAAAGTGCTTTTGTCTCTTTGCAGTGTGCGAAAGTAATTAAAGGTGTTTCATATATATTAGATCCTAGCAGAATGAAAGTGTATAGACCTTTTAGAACATTAGTAACTTGATGTAATCTTTTTTTTTGTACTGTAAGAAATTTTACAGATGAAAATTTTAAGAAATAAGAAAGAAAATTTAAAGAAAAAACACAATAGAATTTGTTAATGACTATATTCTTTCTCTCAGAAAAGAACAAAAATGGTTTGATGTACTATTCAAACCTTTATTGTCTCTCTTGCTAAATTTTCTGGAAACTCTTGGACATTGATCCTTGAAATCGCATTACAAAAAAGAAGAACATTGTTCGTAGGAGTGCTGTTCAAAAGTAATTATTTCGCAGGAACACTTTTAAGAGAAAAACACGAACTCTAGAAGTTTCTACACACAAATGATATAGCAGGATGTTTCTGAAAATCTCCATTGACACATTAGTTCAGTTATTTTGGTTTTATATCGGCTGTCTTGTTTTCACAAAGCCAAAGTCTGTCTGTATTTTACTGTTGTTTTGTACATCATCAAGCTTGTATTACCATGTCATAATCTCTCTAATGTTTCCATGTAATGAGTTTGCAATACATCAACCCTGTTACAGGTGTGTATGTATAAGATAAGTAATGTTTGTTTGATGTTATAATTTGAATTCCCTTTAATATTTTTAACTTCATACAATGTCTTCTTACGGAAAGTGTTTACATCGATTAAACATTCTTTAAAAGTGCTTTTGTCTCTTTGCAGTGTGCGAAAGTAATTAAAGGTGTTTTATATATATTAGATCCTAGCAGAATGAAAGTGTATAGACCTTTTAGAACATTAGTAACTTGATGTAATCTTTTTTTTTGTACTGTAAGAAATTTTACAGATGAAAATTTTAAGAAATAAGAAAGAAAATTTAAAGAAAAAACACAATAGAATTTGTTAATGACTATATTCTTTTCTCAGAAAAGAACAAAAATGGTTTGATGTACTATTCAAACCTTATTGTCTCTCTTGCTAAATTTTCTGGAAACTCTTGGACATTGATCCTTGAAATTGCATTTGGAACATTGTTCGTAAGTCTCAAAAGTAATTATTTCGCAGGGAACACGTAATAAAGAAAAACACGACTCTAGTAGTTTCTACTCCAAATGATATCAGAAGTTTCTGATCTATGAGGTTGATCGTATTAAAGACACATTAGTTCAGTTATACTTAGGTTTTATATCGGCTGTCTTGTTTTCACAAAGCCAAAGTCTGTCTGTATACTGTTGTTTTGCGCACAGTTCATAATCTCTCTAATGTTTCCAAAATGAGCAATACATCAGCTTCTGTTGATTTCTCTGGTTACTGGTTAATGTATTGTATTGTTTGATGGTTAGTTTTGAAGTCGAATTGATTTGATTGGAATGATTACTGAGGAAATGCATGATCATAGTTCAGAGTCAAAGATTTTGGTAGCATTGTTTTAGTGTCTTGACTGATACATTACTTTGACGTCTAGAGGCAAACTTAATTGAAACGAAACAAGAAATCTCACTCTGGAATATCAAGGACACTGTAGGTAAAAGATCAAGTTTATTTTTTCATTTTCAGGTTGTTTTATTGAAATATCAACAGAACAACTTCATAACATTTTGGAACAAGAATTTCTGGAGGACTGATGACTATGATTATTTATAATTCCTATCTATGGAATGGTGAAGAGCCCAACACTGATAATTATATATAATCAGTCACCAATTTCTATTGTAGACAGAGAGAGTACAGGGCTTGTTGACAGAGAGAGTACAGGGCTTGTTGACAGAGAGAGTACAGGACATGTTGACAGAGTACAGAACTTGTTGACAGAGAGAGTACAGGGCTTGTTGACAGAGAGAGTAAAGGACTTGTTGACAGAGAGAGTACAGGACTTGGTTACAGAGAGAGTACAGGGCTTGTTGACAGAGAGAGTACAGGACTTGTTGACAGAGAGAGTACAGGACTTGGTTACAGAGAGAGTACAGAACTTGTTGACAGAGAGAGTGCAGGACTTGTTGACAGAGACAGTACCGGGCTTGTTGACAGAGAGAGTACAGGACATGTTGACAGAGTACAGAACTTGTTGACAAAGAGAGTACAGGACTTGTTGACAGAGAGAGTACAGGACTTGTTGACAGAGAGAGTACAGGACTTGTTGACAGAGAGAGTACAGGACTTGTTGACAGAGTACAGGACTTGTTGACAGAGAGAGTACAGGACTTGTTGACAGAGAGAGTACAGGACTTGTTGACAGAGAGAGTACAGGACTTGTTGACAGAGAGAGTACAGGACTTGTTGACAGAGTACAGGACTTGTTGACAGAGAGAGTACAGGGCTTGTTGACAGAGAGAGTACAGGACATGTTGACAGAGAGAGTACAGGACTTGTTGACAGAGAGAGTACAGGACATGTTGACAGAGAGAGTACAGGGCTTGTTGACAGAGTACAGGACTTGTTGACAGAGAGAGTACAGGACTTATTGACAGAGAGAGTACAGGACATGTTGACAGAGAGAGTACAAGGCTTGTTGACAGAGAGAGTATTGTACAGGAAAAGCTACACACTGATTATTATATGCAATCAGTCATTAATTCATATATATATATTTACAGAGAGAGTAACGGACAGTGAAGAGCTCAACGGTGATAATTATACATGAATATAATTAGTTAGTAACTTCTGTTGTAGATTGAGAGAGTATTGGACAGTAAGAGCTCAAAGCATGTAATTATATATAATCAGTCACTATTCCTGTTGTTGGCAGAGAGATTATGGGATGGTGATGATCTCAACATTGATGATAATGTATAATAAGTCTTTAATTCTTACTGTAGACAGAGCGAGTACGGAACGGTGAAGAGCTCAACACTGCTGTCACACAGGTGTCTTTTATAGTTTACATTGTAAGTAATTATAAGCACTAAAAACATTGTCCTTTGTTTTGTACACTGTAAATGTCCTTAATTATGATTAATAAACCTGTCATTTGTATACATCAATTATACTGATATCCTTTGCTTGGTTCATTGGCCTATTGGATATATAGAATACTTGCCTTTGACTGTGTGGGCTTGGATCCAGTTTCCTGATTAAACATAAAAAAAGAATGGGTTACATATATCTATATATACATATCTATGTGGGTTTACTGTAGGTACTCAGGAATTATCCCATGTGAACTAAGACCTTCTTCACACTTAATCTGGGCCTTTGAGAATAAAAAGATACATTTTTTATCCTTTTTTTTGTTTGTTGTGAAAAGTTTAAACATCTTTAATTATATGCATTAAGGGGCTGCAAAGGCTCAATGTGTAGAACATTAGACTAAATTAACCTACAGTGAAGATCTAATGTGGTGTGTTTCAATACCTATTTGAGGCAGTTTGTGTTTATCCAGAAACGGAGATCACAGATCATTCTGTGTTTTCATGGTTGTGTGCTTTGGTAAGAACCTTTACCCCAGATGCTCTAGATAGCATGCAGCAGGGCCTCTCATCTGATGTTCAGTGTGGTACTCAACAGCTACTACAGGGAAACCTGGCCTTAAATTGACTATTTGTTCTCTAGATGATAAAATCAGTGATCAAACATCTCGTGCTATGTGTGTGAAGAGAGTGTGATATCTCGATTCACTGATGATGATTTAATGGAGTAAGTTATCAACCATCAGAACTATTTAATGGCTAACAGGTGATTCAATCTGTTCAGAAGCTTCCATCTTGTAAAGAAATGAGACATTAAAAAATCCACTTACTTAGATTGGGACATATTGATGTTTTTCTTATAGTAATTGCTTTCTGATGAACCAGGAACATATTGTAATCTCTGTATTCAAAACGTTGCCATTGTTCATATCCAATCTGATTCTAATATACTTGCTCAAAAAGGATTTTGTGGGCACTGAAATTTTTATGGATTTAGTCCAATACATTAGCTTATACTTATTTTAACAGCATATGTTTTTGGAGTTACAGTGCCCACAAAATCGATGAGGAGTGATTCCAGAATAAAGTTCATGGTTTTATAGTAGGCATTTACATTTCATTCTGTATGTATGTAGATGGTAGACAAGATAATTATGTTACTTTTTTGGTTTTTAAAGCAGCTCTTCTTCTCAAAAATGGCCAAATTTAATTTTTACATTGATGAAAGTAATGGGGTTCACTATGAGAACATTGATGGTGTTCAAAAGGGGTTATTTATAGACTCCATTACTGAGTAGTGGTGAGGTCCTCTTTAGGGTATAGAGGGGTCCACATGGGGTTATTATTGGAGTCCATTAGTGAGGTTGTGATGGGTCCTCTAGCAGGTATTAATGGGGTCCACAAGGAGGCATTGATGGGATCCACTTGAATATTGAGGGATTCACTGGGGGATGTTGATTGGTTCCACCACAGGATAACTAGGGGAGAGAACATTGATGGGGCCCACTTGAATATTGTGGGATTCACTGAGAGATGTTGATTGGTTCCACCACAGGATAACTAGGGGAGAGAACATTGATGGGGCCCACTTGAGGGTATAAGAGGGTCCACCAGAAGATATTGAAAAGACTTATTTCAACAAACAGAACAATATTGTAATACTAAATTTGGTAATGTTTTCATGGAACAAATGAATTACATCTTGTGTAAAAGAAATGGTATTCCATCATGTGTAGGATGAATGGGTCCAGAAAGAGAGATGAAATAGCTGAAATGGCTTTTCTGGAAGAATGAGTTAAACCATAGTAATTGTGTGCTACCAGATAAATGATTATGTAAGACCATGTTTCACATTTGGTTGTCAGTGATTATAGAGATTGTTTACTTACAGTGTCTAGAGTTGCTGGCTCTGGTTGTTCTCTTCATGGTTCTTTACTGGATGGAGATCAGGAAGGTGGTGGTTTACCTACTGATTGCCTCTATTATAGGTACGTCACATCTCAATCATAAATAAGTACACATCATATCATATCTTATGGGTAAGTCACACCTCTATCATAGAAAAGTACACATCATATGATCTCTTATGGGTAAGCCTAACCTCATTTTCTCTATTATAAGTAAGTCACACCTGTTATCCTTTGGAATAGGTAAGTCACACCTCATATTCTCTATTATAGGTAAGTCATACCTCGTATCCTCTATTATAGGTAAGTCATACCTCATATTCTCTATTAGATCTAAGACACACATTATATTCTCTATTAGATCTAAGACACACCTCATATTCTCTATTATAGGTAAGACACACCTCATATTCTCTATTATAGGTAAGTCATACTTCATATTCTCTATCAGATCTAAGACACACCTCATATTCTCTATTATAGGTAAGACACACCTCATATTCTCTGTTATAGGAAAGTCACACCTCATATTCTCTATTAGATCTAAGACACACATTATATTCTCTATTAGATCTAAGACACACCTCATATTCTCTATTATAGGTAAGTCACACCACATATTCTCTATTATAGGTAAGTCATACCTCATATTCTCTATTATAGGTAAGTCATACCTCATATTCTCTATTATAGGAAAGTCATACCTCATATTCTCTATTATAGGAAAGTCACACCTCATATTCTCCAATATAGGTAAGTCACACCTCATATTCTCTATTATAGGTAAGTCACACCTCATATTCTCTATTATAGGTAAGTCACACCTCATATTCTCTATTATAGGTAAGTCATACCTCATATTCTCTATTATAGGAAAGTCATACCTCATATTCTCTATTATAGGAAAGTCATACCTCATATTCTCTATTATAGGTAAGTCACACCTCATATTCTCTATTATAGGTAAGTCACACCTCATATTCTCTATTATAGGTAAGTCACACCTCTTATCCTCTATTATAGGTAAGTCACACCTCATATTCTCTATTATAGGTAAGTCACACCTCATATTCTCTATTAGATCTAAGACACACCTCATATTCTCTATTATAGGTAAGTCACACCTCTTATCCTCTATTATAGGTAAGTCATACCTTGTATCCTCTATTATAGGAAAGTCATACCTCATATACTCTATTATAGGTAAGTCACACCTCATATTCTCTATTAGATCTAAGACACACCTCATATTCTCTATTATAGGTAAGTCACACCTCTTATCCTCTATTATAGGTAAGTCACACTTCTTATCCTCTATTATAGGTAAGTCATACCTCATATTCTCTATTATAGGTAAGTCATACCTTGTATCCTCTATTATAGGAAAGTCATACCTCATATTCTCTATTATAGGTAAGTCACACCTCATATTCTCTATTAGATCTAAGACACACCTCATATTCTCTATTATAGGTAAGTCACACCTCTTATACTCTATTATAGCTAAGTCATACCTCATATTCTCTATTAGATCTAAGACACACCTCATATTCTCTATGATAGGTAAGTCACACCTCTTATCCTCTATTATAGGTAAGTCATACCTTGTATCCTCTATTATAGGAAAGTCATACCTCATATTCTCTATTATAGGTAAGTCACACCTCATATTCTCTATTAGATCTAAGACACACATCATATTCTCTATTATAGGTAAGTCACACCTCATATTCTCTATTAGATCTAAGACACACATCATATTCTCTATTAAGTAAGTCACACTTCATATTCTAGGTAAGTCACACCTTATATTCTCTATCTTAGGTAAGTCACACCTCATATCTTTTATTAAAGGTAATTCACACCTCTTATCCACTATCGTAGGTAAGTCACACCTCATATACACTATCATAGGTAAGCCATACCATGTGACCATGTGACCTTGACCGTGACCTTCGATCTTCATTTGAAAGTAAAAAATAATCTTTACCACAATGAAGACATAAGTGTTTCACAAAATGTGCATGCAGTTAGCACATGCCTTACACAGTACAGTAAATGTCCCACTTCAGAATTCTGTTGCAACAAGGGGCATAATATTTCATGAACATGTTTTCATATGAACTGAAGTTCCAATGGGTCAGCAATGAGATATAAAAGATATTGGTTATATTGTTAAAAATAATTCATTTCATTAATCTTTTGTGCTTCTTATATGTGACTCCGTTAAGATTCGGTTTTTAAGGTGTGTCTTACTGTAACCTCATGTTTTATTGCATCCTCAGCCTCCTTCACTGTCATATGTGCCAAAGGGCTGTCGGGGATGATCCAGCTGTCATTTGCGGGCTACTCCCAGTTTGATCACCCTATACTGTATGCCATGACAATCATCATGATCGTCACTGCTATTATACAAGTCAAGTAAGTCACCACAGACATGCTGCACTCAACGCTTCATACAATGTACATTGATATACAGAGTAATGTAAGCTGTCCCATGGGATTTACTTTAGTAAAATTTTCACAATCAAAACAATGTTGTGAGAGGTAATCACAAAAAAATTGAGACAGCGTACTATGCAATGAATATAGTATAGCGTAATAGAGTCAGTTACATGAAATCTACTTGTCATAAATTTGTGATGCAGAAATCGCAAAACCTGTTGGTCATGAAAGAATGTTGGTTTATCATATTGCTTTGGTCCCATAAGTGTAATGGTTAATTAGCGGTCATTGGTTGAAAAGCATGTAGGACTTCCATGAAAAAAAATAAGAAAACATTGGAATTTCCAGTAACTGGTACTAGAACAGGAGATGAATGTAAGTTCTTTAGTTCTTATTACACAGCAGAAAATGTCAATAGGATTCCAACATAGTTCCCATCATGTTATATGTCGAGAGGGGAAGTTGTATCTGTGTATGATGAGGAAGGAAATCTCTTTATATAGGGACTTGGTATGACTCGTGTGAAACATTTCATCACCATGTGGTGATGTGTATATATCTTCTTAGTACATGTATATGGTATTCTGGAATGGGTTTTCACAATAATCTGTTTTGGTTGGTGTTAACATTGAAAAAATTCTATGCAAATATGATGAAGTGTCAGGTGTATTCTGGGATATTATCCATTATCAAAATTGATAATGTCAACTGCTACATTAGCTGGATTCAAATCGTATTTTTTTTTTCTCCCAGTTTGACTTAAACTCTTTACCATGTCTAAAACTAAAATTTCCTAACTACAATTTGTGTCACTAATTCGGCTTGTGAAACTTTCTGTGGTTTAGTATTGATTTTGTCTCGGAACTGCTACATGTATGTCCTGAGAGCATTCAACCGCATAGTGAAGTGATCTAACACTGTCTGCAGTATAAGAGGAAACCAGTAAAATCTGGATGTCAAAGGAATGCATCAAATGCTATTCATTTTTTGTATATTGACCAATGAACATCAGTGAGAGAGTATAATTTCTAATTATAATGTAATGGAGATTTACACCAATTATTGGATACTTTTCAATCTAGAAAAATTTGTTTATCTTAATCCCATTTTGATTCATTTTACATTATCTCCATCTCGTATGATGTAATGGAGACAGATTAAATTTTCTTAATTCTAAGTTGATGTAGTGAATACATTTTACATCAATGCATGTTACAGCATCTTAATCCCATGTTGATGTAATGAATACATTATACAACAATACTTATCACATTACCCAATAAATCATTTTACATCATCTTAATCCCATGTTGATGTAATGAATACATTATACAACAATACTTATCACATTACCCAATAAATCATTTTACATCATCTTAATCCCATGTTGATGTAGTGAAAACATACTACATCAATGCATGTTACATCCTATTAATCCCATGTTGATGTAATGAATACATTATACAACAATACTTATCACATTACCCAAAAACTAATTTTACATCATCTTAATACTATGTTTATGTAATGAATACATACTACATCAATGCATGTTACATCATCTTAATCCCATGTTGATTTAATGAATACATTATACATCAATACTTATCACATTACCCAATAAATCATTTTACATCATCTTGATCCCATGTTGATGTAATGAATACATACTACATCAATGCATGTTACATCATCTTAATCCCATGTTGATGTAGTATGTTTTCACTGTTGAAACAGTTCATCACTGTTAGAATGTAGCATGTAAAATCTTTACTGATTGCGTTGCACATATCACATGATCTTGTTGCATCCTGATCCATCAAACAAAATGGAGGTTAAATTATATCATCATCAGTATTAAGGTTAAGCTTAAAGAGATAACCGTATGTCGTTAGATAGAGGAAAAATTCATTGCTAAAATTTCATGTTCTCTGGCAGTAACTGTCCATCAAAAGGGATAATCTGACACCTCAATCTCACATATTTATCGGTACAGGAAGCCAGGAAAGCTGTAAAGTGACTTGTCATCACTAATGAACCCTGCCATTAATTATTTTGACACATCATATTCCCAGAGCTAAGAGAAAATTGTAAGATAAACCTGCATGTTTTAATTTCTAGGTTCCTGTTAACAAATCAGTCTTCTTTGGTGACAGATCACTGGATCAAGAAAACACTTTTTATTGTGTTTGACTTATTTAGAAGCAGTGATTCTGATTAAATGGCTTAAATTTGGTGTGATCAATTGTCACAGCAGTGAATGTGGGGGGTATGGCTTTAACTTTTCTAAAATAATTGAGTTTGGTTCAACTCTTTAGGATAGGACAGTGTCCCAAAGGGGAAATCAGTTGGTTTCAAGCAAATTTGGTCTGAAACATCACTGAGAGAGGGCAGTCATTTCTTACAAATAAGATCAATTTGACTCCTAGAGATAGGGGGTGGAACCAAAAGAGGAAAAATTAACGAATTTTTTTCTTTGAAATGGTATTCCTCCTAAAGGTCTACCCGATAAATAGACTTGACCAAATTTGAACTTAAACAACCTATGGGGAAGGCAGCCATTTTAAAACGAGGTTGGTTTATTTCCTGAGATTGTAGAAATGTATAGGGACTTGTCCTGACCAAGTGCTTTATTTTTTGTCTCAGGTTGATACGCCATCTAGTGGCTAAATCCTCTTGATGTTTAATTGTCAGATTGAAGCATATCCCTGGGTAGGTCTCTTATTTATACATGTGTATATATTTTTATCATTAATTGATCCACAAGTTATATATTTTTCTGATAGGAACCATTTTGGACACCTATCCTAAACTGATTATCACAGATGTACCATTTACCTGGTACTGTACACTGACACCTATTATCATTTCTGCCATTTCAGTCAACACAAGCATTGTTTATTCTTGAAAGTCACACCTTGCATACAATAGTTTTGAGTGCCATGTTTGGACTTTGGAGTTAAGATTCCACTTGTTTTGCAGGCTTTTTTCCATTATATATATCATACACAAGGGATCTCATATGTTTCAGATTTTTGAATGAAGCCATGAAGAGCTTCGAGTCAACAGTGGTGGTCCCTACCAACTTTGTGTTCTTCACTATTAGTGCAATCATGGCAGGTGAGTGCATAATGAACACCTTTTTTCTCGCTACAGATTAACAGACATCTAATGATAATTTTGTTCAAGTAATAAATAATTAAATACAGTGTACCTTACGTCCAAGTTGAAAAGAAAGATGCATATGAAATCCTTATGTTAGAAAAAGCAAATTGTTTTTAATTACAGTTATACAGAATCAGACATGATATCTAAAGTCCTATGATCTGTACTAAAGGATTGCTGCTGGTTCAGATTATACAAGTAATACTCCTTCAACAACCAGAATTCAGTTCATCTTTAAAAGAAGAAATTGAAAGTCTATGAAATAATCCTGTCTTACTTTCATTTCAGGAATAGTATTTTATAAAGAGTTCTGGGGACTTAATGGCCTGGAGATTTGTATGTTCTTGGTCGGGTATGTAGGTCATTCTTTCTTGTTTTGCCCTGCATTGATGTCATCACTCCAGTGCAATTTTGACAAAAGAGGAAACAAAGATGGAGTATTGGTGTTTCCATGGTCAAAATCACCTCTACTATTCATAAAAAATCATTAGCTTTTTTGCTTGGAATCAGTGGTGCATGTATTCATGTCTTGCAGACATTTTCTAATTCTACTTAATAAGGTATTAAAGTTTTCATAAAGATAATGTGTATTTTACTACATAATATCCCAAGATTTGTATCTGTTGCAAGAATACTTCTACAAAGTAACCCACAGACACAGATTCCAAAAAAGTACTGCTGTGTGACTTTCTTTCAGAAAATTTCTATATGGTTTTTGTCATAGACTGAATTTTTACCAACAGGTGCTTGATGTCATTTGTGGGAGTGTACTTCATAACCATGAACAGAAGTCCAGAGAGTGAATCTGAGTCAGCAGGTGTTCTGTCTGAAACTGCCTCTGTGGACAGTAAACCACAAGTGACGGCCAATATATTTCCTGGTAGGTATCAGTATAATACATCACTTCCTGATTCACAACTTCCATATATATATATATATTGCCATTGTAGGTATCACTACACCAAACAACAATGTAGACTAAGACAGTAAACCCTTGCTATATCACTACACCAAACAACAATGTAGACTAAGACAGTAAACCCTTGCTATATCACTACACCAAACAACAATGTAGACTGAGACAGTAAACACTTGCTATATCACTACACCAAACAACAATGTAGACTAAGACAGTAAACCCTTGCTATATCACTACACCAAACCACAGTGTAGACTAAGACAGTAAATCCTTGCTATATCTCTACACCAAACAACAATGTAGACTAAGACAGTAAACCCTTGCTATATCACTACACCAAACAACAATTTATACTGACAGTAAACCCTAGCTATATCACTACACCATGTATGATGTGTTGTAGTCCACTTGTTTACTATTGCTGTTTGTTTTTGTTGCAGCCTGGTTATTGGCCACTGTCAATGTTGGTGAAGTTCAGCCAAAAGGAGACATCCAACACCTCAGTGATAATGACAGGGCACCATTTTTATCTCCTCTGCCAGAGGAAAGTTCTACATCATTAGACACACTTTCTAGCCATGATGATTCTCCAGTACGCTCTAAACCAGCCACATCATATGGTGCAACAGGATGAGAAAATAAAACATATTTGTATGATAAATTATAAATTTGTATAAAAGATTATTTATTTTAATATTATCATAGATCTGATTAGAGTTTATAAACTCTTTTTCTTAGTTTGAACGTGTGTAAGCATTGAAATGAAGAAATATTGAAAACTAGATAAAACCTGGAATGTGACAGTTTATTATGATACCCTGTTTTGAAAGATGTCGTTTTCCATATCACTGATATTTGGTAATTTAGGGCAGTTGTAGAGTAGTTGTTATTGTTTGTTATTTGTTTATCAGCCTGAGGGTTTTATTGTTTACTACTGTATGGATAATGCCAAAATGTGGTTAGTATTCGTAAAAGTACTTGGTATATAATCACTGACTATTTCCAACTTGGGCTGTAGGATGATAATCCTAATTTGCTTTATTCATTGTAAAAATATATACATGTATATGTTATATCCAAAATATTTACCGTTTAACATTCCTAATTATTGGCAATATCCTATAATCCTATTGGCTTAAGATCTGAGATTTGAACATTGATATTACTGTGGTAGATTGAATTCTAAAGTGCAAAGTATCTGTCAAAGTTGTGAGATCATAATATGTAAAGGAACCTACTGTGTAAATGTCATTCATGAGGGTATGTATGACATTTGGGGGGGGGCTACTCTGTATATGTTATTCCTCAGTGTATGCACTCTCCAGAATACCGCTGTGTGGTATAATGACATGTTAGGGGAGCTTACTCTGTATATGTGTCATTCATCAGGGTATGTACTCTCCAGAATACCACTCTGTGATATCATGACATGTTAGGGGAGCTTACTCTGTATATGTGTCATTCATCAGGGTATGTACTCTCCAGAATACCACTGTGTGATATCATGACATGTTAGAGGGGCCTACTCTGTAAATGTGTCATTCATCAGGGTATGTACTCTACAAAGTACTACAGTGTGATATCATGACATGTTAGAGGGGCCTACTCTGTAAATGTGTCATTTATCAGGGTATGTACTCTACAAAGTACTACAGTGTGATATCATGACATGTTAGAGGGGCCTACTCTGTAAATGTGTCATTCATCAGGGTATGTACTCTCCAGAATACCACTCTGTGATATCATGACATGTTAGGGGAGCTTACTCTGTATATGTGTCATTCATCAGGGTATGTACTCTTCAGAATACCACTGTGTGGTATAATGACATGTTAGGGGAGCTTACTCTGTATATGTGTCATTCATCAGGGTATGTACTCTCCAGAATACCACTGTGTGGTATCATGACATGTTAGGGGAGCTTACTCTGTATATGTGTCATTCATCAGGGTATGTACTCTCCAGAATACCACTGTGTGATATCATGACATGTTAGAGGGGCCTACTCTGTAAATGTGTCATTCATCAGGGTATGTACTCTACAAAGTACTACAGTGTGATATCATGACATGTTAGAGGGGCCTACTCTGTAAATGTGTCATTCATCAGGGTATGTACTCTACAAAGTACTACAGTGTGATATCATGACATGTTAGAGGGGCCTACTCTGTAAATGTGTCATTCATCAGGGTATGTACTCTACAAAGTACTACAGTGTGATATCATGACATGTTAGAGGGGCCTTCACTGTATATTGTTAAATCATTGTGCAAGGAACAGATAATTTGACTTCTGCAACTGATTAAGTAGAAAGCCCTTTGTAACCTTTACATGGATTTAAGACAGAGTTTAATTACCACTTTGGGCTGTGGTTTTATATATTCCCCAGTTTGTAGATATTTTCATTGATCAAGTAGAGAAATATTTCCTACTCCGTATATGTATATTTAATTGTGATCCCTTCTACAGTCTAATTTATTTCCTCAAACCCTGATTACTGGAGGCCCTGTTACACTCTTTGGGTACTTCCAATCCAAACCAAATCTCTTTTTATCTTACAAATTGGAGAACTTGGATAACTTGAAATTTTATCAACATCCTGTGGATTTTGAGAAAAGAAATTTGACTGTTCTGTTAAAATTCCATGAAACATGTGATGCATATCCAAAATAGTCCCTTTTTAAGTAGATTTGTGATGTATTAAAGTTGTGTTACTTGTTTGTGTTTAATTTACAAATATTTTCTTGCTAATTTACATAACCATTGTCTTTGGCATATCATGAAAACATTTCCTTTCTTTGTCTTTGCTCAATTGAATTTTTTATATAATGTTTTAAGAAGTCTCTATTCTGTGATGATTTTCATGTTTTCCAACAGGATTAATCAATTCTTACTTACATAGATTAGATACATATCTATATCATACATTTACATCCTACATATATAAAGTGTAGTCTAGTGTATGTATATTGTTGTTACTGTGGAGCTGTTCCCTGCCTTACTGGCTTTGTTACTTTGAATTTGTATTTCATGGATTTTTTTTTCTTTTTTTATTGATTTTTTTATGTAATTACTCTTACAGTAATTATATAATTATTATATTATTTTGTTCTGAACAAAGACATTCCAACATTAATTTTAGGTAAGAATAAGCACCATGTACAACAATAACAGTGTTATCAATGGAATATATGATGCAGCATTTGTTCTATAAGTATTTGATATACTGTTGTTTAGTTGTAATCTTCTACAATTCTGATCATCAGATAACTTGTCTTGTAAATGATATATACATATTCTGCTTGTCCGTCCACATGTCCTTTCCTTATAATACTCACCAGGATCACCCAGTAGATAGCCAAAATGTAAACTATTACATTACAGTTCAGGTTTTCCAATCACAACAACATCTGTATAGCTTCAATTGATACTGGTAAAAGTTTGATGGCTATAAAAAATGAAACTGAGAAGTGAATAATTATAACATATAATAAACACTGTTAAAACTGACACCAGATGGTCAAAGGTAGTAAATCATACATGTTCTATAGTTCTATATAAACTATGAACAGGAATGAAGGAGATAGTGTGATAAATCACAGAGGAGTTATAAGATAAATGTGTTTTATATGTGAAAAAGTACAGATCTCCTTATTAGCCTCGATTAATGGGAATCTCCCTATAGTCAAACAGTGCCGTGTTCAGCTAAAGACCGAAAGGTCACTAGTTCAAACGTCAGCAGGATGTTTATCATTTTCTCCACCTATTCCATACGACCTGGTGAAGAGAGATGTCCAGCTATGAATCACATACACCTTCAATTCTGATAAAAGTTGTATCCATGCCTTCAGATTTTATATTGTACACTATTATCTTTGTTGATAACTTTATCAATTGTGTTATAAAAGGGTATCCATGGCTCTAGGGGAATGACTGGTGATTGTTAGGGTTAGATAGAGAACATCACATGTTTTATAATTGTATGACAAAAGGGACCAAATAACAGTCATCACCATTAGCAGGCAGGATGTAAGTAAAAAAGTTCTTTGTTATACTTCTTCATAAAAATTAAGAACAAGTTTTCTTGTTAAGTTAAATCAATATAGGACATACATTTACAGAATTTAAAAATTTACCAAAAATATCATTTATATATATGTCTATGTGTGCATGTAAATAAGAGGAGAATTTTCTCACATTTTCAAAACATTATTGAAGTTAATTTTTCAATGGCATCTCATCCCTAACAGAAAAAATTAATCTTGTAAATAAAATTCTACTTGAATGACAAGTGAGTTTAAGAAGATAATATAAGAGTTACCTCCCATGGTAAATCCAAATTAACTACTAGGTTATCTCATTATCAGAATCTGACAACATTGCATCTATATGTAGCTATTGTCATGTCCAGGGGTCCTTGAATTCCAGCCTATCAGTTGGGTCAGGGTGGTAAGAGAACGTCCAACGTTTTTAAAACATATTCATTACATGAACATCAGGGTAATGCAAAAAATGCCATAAAAACATAACCCATGCTGTGTCACAAACCTCTGTAGCATATAGCCATTTAATTATAGTAATTCAGTGTATTTGGTCATAGCCCTACAAAATCAAGGACAAAGAGGTGAATTAAAGGGCCATCAAGGAAAATGTCATGTGATCAATTTTATTGTACATTTATTATTTGCCCAGGTACTTTGATTATGTTAAATCCAAAAATTGAAATTAGAATTTTTTTTTATACTGATCAAAACTAAAGAAATAGCCGGTTACATAATTCATGACATAAGCAGGTTCTGATCTGAAAAATCAGGTGAGGCAATGAGACCTTACATAACACTGCTTTGACTGATAGATCATTCTAAATAAACATTCCAATTTCCTGAATCAATGTAGAGGTTTATAATTGTTTCAGCTAAGTTGTACTGAGAATGTGAGCATCATAATATATTTAATTTGTTTTCTTGAAGTTCCTGTTAATATACTTAATGTGGAGTGACAATTTAGTACAAACCCAGAGTAAGATCAACATATGTTTCTTAATATGTTGTCTTCTAAGTGTTGTAGCTATGTCAAATATTATTGTGGAATTACTGATAGGTTGTTTTTTTTATTAATAAAATCTGTAGGTAACTCTGTAGATTTCGTATATGCCGATTTATACAAGGATAAAGAAAACCACTGTGTTTCCTTAATATGTTATTGGTTTCATATGAAATCTTTGACTTGCTTTAAGGTCATTAAACCAGAGTATTATGTCATTGTATAATAAATCTTAAGTAGTCATCACTTGTGTTAAGCTAAAATGTATTAGTAAAAGTGGCTCAAGTCTTTTAACACCATATGTAATTGGTAATTGTCTTAATAACATTAAATATTCAGTAAAAATGTCTCAATTAATTCTCCTTAGTTAATTGGTTAATAACATTAATATATATTTGAAATATATATATAAAAAAACACCTTAATATGGTCCCAAGTTAAGAAATCAGCTGTAGCATGAAATGGCATATGTAATGAAAAGTTACACAAGATTTATGAATCTAAGTTGGTTATTCATTCCTTTGGTATAGATAAGGAATTTTCCTTGACCAAAGGGTGCTTGAGTTACTGGCATAGTGCTGTGTCCAACCTCATCTTTAAACAACTTTTATTATATACCAAAAGGTCCATGATCATGATATTGGGTCTGTAATATGCTGGGATAAAGT